AAAGTTGGCAAAAACATCTTAAAGTTTTATAATAGGTAAAGATATACTGAAACTACTGGTTATATATATGAGAAATCTGAAAATAATGAAGTTATATTCAAATATCTGATGCTTCATGAGCATCATGTGCTTTTGAATATACTGAAGCTAAACTGAAAATACCATGTACTTTTGGACTCCTTTCAAACATCAATCAAGGTCTCTCAATAGTCAATACTCCAGTCCAATTACTCCAAGGTTTCTGAGTACTTCAATTCAGGAAATCGAATCAAGATTTCCATGTACTCCAATTCAGAAAAAATCAATCAAAGCTTCTGACTTTCTGAGTACTCTAATTCCAAAAAAGAAAAATCAGTACTCGGCACATATACTCTTTATTCTGTACGTACATTCAGAAAGAGTATCAGAGTACTCTAAATCAGAAAGATATTTCTTGTGCTAGTTCTTTCATTGTGTGTGTAAAATCGACTACAATTCCAGCCAACGATCGAGATTCTTGAGGTTATCGGCGCAACCTTTCTTTATTCTTGAGCTTCTTGATTAGATGCATCGCTAGAGGTTCGTCGTCGTCGCCCGGGAGAGGCACGCCATTTCCGCTGGGCTTCGTCGCTGTGGACTGATGAGGTTTCGTCACCGTACGTTGCCTAGGAGAGCTACCGTCAATATTAGGGTTCGTCGCTGTCGAGGTCCGTTCATCGCCATCACCAGCGATTGCGTAAAGGCAGTTGAGATCGAGCCCGGCCACGAGCCGCGCGGCATCACGGCGTAGGGTTCGCCGCCATTACGGGTTGGGAAAGGCGCGGCTGCGTCGTCAGGGCAAACCAGACATTTTGGAAGATGGGGAGAGTATATCAGTTGCTCCGTTATTTGGAAGGGGTTGTATATTTTGCTTTGCAGTTTGCAGTCCACACAGAGCCTACTATCTTCTTTATTATCAAAAACACAGTACACCTTTTGCCTTTGAATTTCATGTTTGACTTGAGAATGTGAATTTAATTGCCCTTAAATTAACTTTCGAATAGATTTCAGCACTGGCCTTTTGAGAAGAAGAAAAGGAAAACCCAATAAAATACCGGTAAGATGATATTTTAGAAAAGTTTTTTTAATTATTTCAAATTTTGTTTTTCTGTTATAGATTCGAAAATTTTAAGGTGTTGCATAGCAGCATGCAATTTGATGTCGCATGGCATCGATAGGTTCAAGCCTTCTTTAGGCAAAGCATTGGTATCGATATCGTTCATTTTTCATCAATCTTAAATATATCTTATTCAAGCTCGGTTATATTACATTTTGTCATGAGCCCCTGCGCATAATCTAATGGGATATCAGTGGGTTATCGGAGGGCGAGGACATGGAAGCTTGGTCGAACATCGACCCGTGGCGGCAGCAACAGGAGATGAGAAAACAGAGAATCGGAGATGAGAATTGTAGATTGAATTTGCTTGCTTTATTCATCCGAATGCTACCTCTTAATAGGCTTACAATTGGTAACCAAATTACTATAAGAAATAGCTAACAAACTGGTAATTAAGGAAAAGAGCTAACAAACTTTATCTAATTTGCAAGCGGATAGAACTGTTGCCGTCCGGCGCGGCTGATCAGGCGCGACGCGCTGCGCTCCCTGCTGCCGCGTCCTGCTGAGCCGGCGTGCCTCTGCGACGATACGTACGTAATCCTGACCATGACACATTTATGTTTGGTTTGCATTTCAAATATCATCGTGGCATTACCACTCATATTACTAGTGATCTAATTAGGGAGACTAACCAACGGGAGACTCGGAGAGCTACGAACCAATGATTAAGCACAACTTCTATACGTAATGGATTTGATGTGCTTTTATCTGATTAAATACTATACTTAATGCCTATAAATATATATATACTATATACTTAATGAATAGTATATAGAAATATATACTTAATGAAATTAATACTATATACTTAATTTGGAGGCCCAAAAATTGTGGGCCCTATTCAATGGGCCACCTCGACCTGTTAAATATGTGATCCGAATTTTGGGCTCACAATATATTCGGATTAGTTTATAGGATTAGTTTCCTATTAGGAGTCCTAAATTTCTTCTATATATATCCCTTGTAAGCTGCACGAGGAGGGTGCGACAGCCCAATGTATCCCCTGCGTTTGTATCCAATTTCTCTACAGTGATCATTGTCCGACGCGGAGTGGGTGTTTTCTGTGCGAGGAGAAAAAGGCAATGCAGCAGCCGTCGTCCACGCCTACGCAGCCGCACGCGTCGAGGAAGCAGCAGTCGGTGTCATCTGATGTCCATACCGAGCCATCTACCAGCACGTCCATTCAGCAGCCTTGCCTCGGTTCTGTTCACGTGAATTTATTTCACGGTTGGAAATTGCTGCGTGCACACGCCCTTCGTACCAGGGAATCAATTCAGTGGCAATGCTCCGGTTCTGTTCAGGTGAATTCAAATTCACATTCAATTGCTATGTTCACAAAGCCAAGTCTACCAGGAGGTTCTATACGGAGATCAAATACTTCGTTTTATTTAATGCACCTAGAGCGTTTCGCGTTTTTGCTAGGGTTTCACAATTTATACCAGCAGATTCAGGATTTTATTCCCAAGGCGAGTTTGAAGTTTAATCTACCGCTCCTGGATTGAGATGCAATATTCTCGTTATGGCAAGTGAAGATGCAAGTTGGCGTAGCCATCGAGGAGGAGAAGCAAGTATTGCTGTACACCGGAGAGGAAAAAAAAAGGCAACACATTCAAGTCGTCGAGAGGGAGCCTCGCTCCTGTCTAGATCACAAGGTGATCAAATTGTCCGGCGAATTTTGCTACCATCATGCCTAACACACCGGAAGGTTAATAAGGAGATCTAAGTACTTTGTTTTATGCACAGCGTTTTGCGTTTCTGTTAGGATTCCAGAAATTAATACCAGCAGATTCAGGATGTTATTCCCATGGCGAGTTTGAAGTTTGTGCATCAGTTTCGCGTCTCTGCTGGGTTCCACGATGTCATACCAGCAGATTCAGGATTTGTTCCCAATGGCGAGTTTGAAGTATGGTCTACCTCTTCTGGATCAAGGGTGTTATGGATTATAGTCCAAGTGACTATTTGGCGCACATTGATTTTATCATCATGAGGTTGTTTAGAGGTTGAAGATTTTTATGCTACAAGGGAAATTCGTCTCAAGGTGGAGATTGTTAAATATGTGATCTGAATTTTGGGCCCACAATATATTCGGATTAGTTATGTAATAGGACTCTACTTTATAGGATTAGTTTCCTATTAGGACTCCTAGATTTCTCCTATATATATCACTTGTAAGCCGCACGGAGAGGGTGCGACAGCCCAATGTATCCCCTGCGTTTGTATCCGATTCCTCTATAATGATCATTGCCGGTCGGTGCCCGTGGTTTTTTCCCGCAAGGGTTTTCCATGTCTCCGTTGTGCATCTATTTTCATAACACGACCGATAGCCCGGCCTTAATTTACCGTATCGATGATTCGTTCTCTAAAGGAAGTTACAGTGATGAGGCGGTTTCTACTGGTATTTTTATATATAAAAGGGCATTTTATCTTTAGGATAAACAGGGATACAATTGCTTTCGCTCAGAATAGCTTGGGTCACCCTGGAGGCCTGGACTGACAGGCATATTAGCTTAGATGAAGCAAACAACACTCCTTTCGCTTTATATCTTTTTCTTTATGCATGCTCTTTAATTAAGGAGGGCCCAGCAGCGATCAGTGGCAGTCCAAGCAACGAATCTGATGATTATTGATGGAGCGCACAGCTTGGGAGATAGTATATCGATTTGGGACACTTTTGCCGAAAAGCACATTACCAAAGCAAACGACCAAGCATGTAATGCACGCATTCTATGTAGGCTTCTGCTAGCTCCATCAGCTCTCCCCAAACATCATCTTGCATTCAGTTCTTCGATCGTTTCATTTTGTATGCTCCCATGATGCGTGCAAGCATGGCTTAGTTTGTTCACTCCCGGCCGCCCAGTTTTCTCAACATCGTGATCAAGGTAAGCTACATGAATGCAGCTTGCTTTCTCAACATCCATAGTTTTATATATGTACAAATAATCAACACAGTGATATATAAGAGTCTTATATATCTCTCTGGAGTTTTGGTTTTCAACGAGCTAGCAAGGGACATTCTTGAATGCATGTTTCAATATACTCCAGCTAATTTGTATTTAGTTTTATATCATCAATTTATATTCATATAGAATCATTGATTAATTAAATTAAAAGAACATATTCTAGATTTTGTAACGTACGTGCGATTCAAAGAACATCGACTGATCAAGATATGATGGAGCTGCTCGCCTAGACTGTAATTCAACAATTGAAGATCCAGCTAGCTAGCAAGAGATCCAGGCAACAGATCGACTCATCATGCCAGCGGATGAGGTATATATTTCACTCCGTGCCAATGTGCCATTATATTTTTTTCTCTTTTCATTTTGAATGGAAATTATTCAGCGACCATGCATGCAAAATTTGGCATTCCCTCTGTTTCATATTATAAGACTTTCTAGCATTGCTCACATTCATATATATAAATGCTAATGAATATATGTCTAGATTTATTAGCATATATATGAATATTGGCAATGTTAGAAAGTCTTATAATATGAAACGGAGAAAAGTATATATTAGCTAGGCAGGCATGTATGCATCCAATTTGGATGCTATTAATTTGTTCAAACACACTTTCATTAATTCATTACATATATATGGGGTATATTTTAATTTAGACCCAGGAGTGTCATTAATTTATTCAGTTTGGTGGTCTTCTCTATAACTTCACTGGTTTTCAAATAGAAGTCCGGCAAAATCTTTTTGTATTTTCGATTACATATATATGACTTATAGTACATAACTCAAAATATATTTACTAGCTTATATAGCCACACACCCCCACGCAGGCCATATATAACAAACTTGCCCATATCTAACTCCACGACCCAAACTAAACTTTCAGCTGCATGGACACACATGCACACTTGCTAATTACTACCTCCGTATTTTAATTTATGACGCCGTTGACTTTTTTATCCATCGTTTGACCATTTGTCTTATTCAAAAAAAATTATGTAATTATCATTTATTTTATTGTGACTTGATTCATCATCAAATGTTCTTTAAGTATAATATCTACTGACACACTTCACGCCACGAGACTCACTTTACTTGACACATCTACTGCATGCAGGCACTTACATACAACTCATGGCTTTCACTGATATCACACTAATTAACTCACACATGCACGCACTGTCGTGCTCCTAGCACACACGCACACGAGACTTAGTATATATAACTCAAACCAAAAGATCACTTAAACAACAACGAGATTAAACCTTAACACTAGCTAATTAACTATACTATAGTACGTATCATTAATTTGAAAGTTTTCCACCCAAAAACTGTCAAAAGTTGTAAAGACACTCCCTGTATATGTAGTACCGAATTTAACTAGCTAGCTCAACGCTCAGAGAAAACGATATATAATTGGTGTATCTCTACGTACCAAAAAACAGCAAGCATATATACAGTAGAAGGCGAAGCTTAGCTAGGTTTGTCTGATTAATTATATTATTAATTAGTACTTATTAATTGCAGTGGACGAGGATCGTAGCAGGCAGCATCGATGAAGCAGCAAAGAAGATAATCGATTTCCTGGACGATACGAGCAACAACAGAAGTACGGTGATCTATTTTGAGGCCTGCAGAGGATTGGGGTCATCGGCCGTCCTCAAAGAGGTGGCCAAACGACTGAGATCGTCGTCACCGGAGAAGCTGAAGCTGAAGCTGAGGTTGGACAAGATCATCCACGTCGATTGCTCTCTGTGGCAGAGCAAGAGGGCCCTGCAGAAGGCCATCGCCCAGGAGCTGGAGCTTCCTCGGTCGGTGATGGCCATGTTTGATCAGCGTGACAAGGAGGATGATCTCGACGGCGTGGACCACGGTGCCAGAGGAGTGATACCGCACATAGATGTGCAGGAGTGCGGTGTTCCTATAAATATGGGACTCTCAGGCAAAAGGGTACTGTGGACATCCCAGGTCAGGTTTGGGCCTTGGATGATCACAGGCGATGTGCACATGGTTGCCGGACCGAGCGATGTCGCTATGTTTGCTGATCCTATGGATGATCAACCCCTGCTGCATGAAGAGGCTGAGGAGGTTGCTAGGTCCACTGGTGTCCCAAAACCTGGCATGAGCCCTGAGATTGTCAAGGAGTGCATCATGTACTACAAGGTGGTGAGGCTGTTAGATGGAAACCATGGCATTGACTGGGCCACCCACGCGGCTAACTACTGGGTATGCAGCGGGATCATACGATCCGTTGGTAATACGTCAGCATGGGAGATTGCCCAAGCTTTGCATACCAACCTGAGATTGGATTGGGATGATAGTCTGAATAATAATAAGGAAAAACTAGATCCACTACAAGTGCCTTGTGATTCTGTAAAGGCATCATTCTTCTGGGCTACATCTCACAGCAACAAGGAAGCAACTACAAGCTGTAAAGAATCACTGGAGGCCAGAATGTTCCAACATTCATCTGTAGACAGGCTGCGTGTGATAAATCTCTCCCAGTGTACATTCAGTTTTACATCTCCACCCTTCCTCGGTTGTAGCAGCCTAAGATTCCTCCTACTTGACCGTTGCAAAGACAAAGACAAGCTCTGCTCAGGCTCATCACCAAATAGTACTAGTGCTGGAGACACTGAAAAGGAGACTAGTATTAGCAGTGGAGCATGTTTCCAGAAGCTATGGGTGCTTGACCTGAGTTACACAGACTGGTATTGGCTGCTATCAGTAGAGGCACAAGATCTAATGGTTGAGCTTAGGGAGCTAAATGTGAAGGGGGTCAAGCATTGGAGCATAAGCCATCTACTCCGTGATGACAACAATTCTAGTACTGGTGTCGGAAGCAGCACCAAGCCCCTTGGGCTACTCAACCTTGTCAAGCTCCAAGTCGCGACCGAACCAATAACTGAAGTTCAACATCAGTCACAAGTATTGCAGCAAGATCAAGTAGCAGTAACATTATTCCCGAACCTGTCTAGCTGCAAAATCATCAAGACAATCATTCTGGATGGTTGTTTTGAGTTGACGCGAATTGACCCTCATGACCTACCGCCATCACTCGAGTCATTTAGCTTCTCTAGCAGCAGCAATGACAATGATGTTGATGTCACAGCCAAGATAGAGAGCATCTCCTTCCGAGGATGCACCCAGTTGAAGAGTGTGCTTTTGAGAGGAGTGTTTGAGAGGCTCAAGCAACTCGACGTCTCAGGCACTTGTATTAAAACCCTCGACCTACGTTCAATGCGAGGCAACTGGTCTCTCAAGGAGCTCCTACTGCTTGGATGCAAGGAGCTTCGTGCAATACTATGGCCAAAACAAGATGTATCATTGGAGGTTCTGCACATCGACACTAGTAGCACTGAACTTGGTCATGCTACAGGTGTAGTTGAATCATCATCATTCTCACCCGTTGAATTTAAATGGTATATTTCAGTGAGGGACAGAAGACTCCTTCGCTCGCTAAATGATACAAAATATCCCTTGGATGCACCATGCATCGAGATCTCATCCCCTCCTGCTAGTGTTGCTACTGCTACTACTGATAGTTCTGAATTAGGCGGAACAATAAGCAAGAGAAGGCCCATTGCCATTAGCAGGGCTGAACAACGTTGGTTGATGTCAACCAAAAGCCGACGACCAACTGCTGACCACAAGAAGTTATATGCGGATGTCGACTCCACGATCCAGCACTTGCAACTACAAGCAACCATGAACGGCAACTGGATGTGGCCATGTAAATCGGAGGGCAGCACCTCTCACTACATTAGCTTACAAGATGATAAGAGGATGCAGACGAAACCATTGTCGTCGCCATCTTTGCCAGGTTCCATCTGTGAAAGAGCTTCAGGCCTGCACGTGCATGACAGCTTGTCTGTCGCAAGTATCACAAGCCATTCAAATGAGGCACGGAGATGGTATAACCTAGAGTGGTGCAGAGTGGAGAGATGCCCTAACATTGAAGGCGTTGTATTCACTCCACCTAGTACTGGTAGTAACAGCATTTTCTGGTACCTAAAGACATTCTGGGCATCCCAACTAGCAAGGGCGCGCCACATCTGGGACTGGAGCACAACGGGCCAGATACATTTTGAGCCTGCAGATTCGTCATTCTGGTTGAAAGTGCTACACCTAAATTGCTGCCCCAGGTTGATATATGTGCTTCCCTTATATGACAACAGTCCTTCCTATGCATACTGTGCGTTGGAAACCCTTGAGATCGTGTGTTGTGGTGACCTCAAGGATGTCTTCCGAGTGGATGATAATAATCAAGAGCTTCTAAAAACTATAAAATTTCAAGAGCTGAAGCACATCCACCTGCACGAGCTGCCCTCTCTGCAACGCATCTGCGGGCATAGGATTGTGGCCCCCAAGCTCGAGACCATCAAAATCCGAGGCTGCTGGAGCCTCACCCGCCTACCGGCTGTTGGTCTTGACAGTACCCGCAAGCCCAAGGTGGATTGCGAGAAGGAATGGTGGGATGGCCTGCAGTGGGATGGGTTGGAGAACGGACACCATCCTTCCCTCTATGTGCCCACCCACTCACGCTACTACAAGAAGAAACTGCCCAGAGGTTCCATGCTCAGGTATGTACATATGTCTGTGTGCATACATGATTGTTACTTGGGTATCATTCCTTGCGCGCACATACATACATACGTAGAAACTTATATAGCTCAGTACTTTAGTTACTCCATCATATATATATATATATATATATGATCGAGCTTTTCCCTTTTTTTTTTAATTTTGTCTGACTTGGCGTGCTTTCTTTTCTTCTTAAATTCAGGTGATCGATATATACGTCCATACACTACATATTTGATACTGTAATCATCTACGTATCATTCCCTTTCCCTCATCCAGTGGCTCATCAAGTTCTTCAGCTCTATCTCTATTATATATGTCCTTATTTGGGGCTGGTGTTCAAAGTGCTCGCTCATTTCATCATATCATTTGCAACGGCAACAATATCTAATGCATGATGAGTAAGTACATCTCCGGCCGGCATCCAGACGCTCGTCATCTGCTTGTTACTAGCTTGGATTCTGTTCATTTCTGCTTCTTTTGTTCTGTGTGAAAATTAATAAATGGATGCTCAGCTGCCAGCTGGTGTGTGAGCTCTGCATCTATCTGCTAAGTTATTTTCTCCATACATGCTTGCTTTCCGTTTGGCCGGTTAGTCGATCTGCTTGTTCGACCGATCCATCCATCGGATTACTACGTATGCTTCATCTTTCTGGATAGATGATCATACATGTATATGTGAAAACTTTGATCTCTAGCACCGTTCTGGTGTGGTGTGCTTCCTAGAGGTCGACGAATAAATCATCAGCTTCAGCGGCATGAGAAGATCCATTGGGTGATCCTCGTGCAGCCGAGTTGCTGTTGTGCACTTGTTTGTGGGTGTGTGTGTGTTCGTGTGATTTGTCAGCATATGTGGACTGACCGAGTTTGTACTCCTAATTACTTCACTTGTATGAACAGAAACAATGATGATGATTGTGAGTGTGACATATATTTTCTATGCTGCAAATGTATGTATTAGTTGCTCTGTCATTTTGAAGGTATTGTATATTTTGCTCTGCACTCCACAGTCAACACATGATATGCCTGTGTAAATTTTCTTTAACAAACACTCCTTATCAAATCCGCATTTCTTTTGTTAGTTTATTCTCTGCTTCAAAATGTGCAAAGGGAGAAGCACAAGATTTTTTTTAAGCCTCAGGTCTGACTGATTTGATCAATGAATTAAGATGCATTTCAACCAAATTAGCAGTCACCATTAGTAATTGTGTTTTGTACTTGTGCAGTGATATGATACTCTGTTTTGAAGTGAAACCTTCTGCAATATTGCAGTGGAGAGTGGCATGCAGTAAGATTTGGGGTGTATCCCAGGTGTTAGTGTTTGCTGGGCCTGTATGAATACACACATTAGGCCCATTTTGGCAGACAGCTGCACCTATTAAAAATACAATCCATAACTAGCGAAATACAAGAGCAAAAATACAGTCCTTTTTCCAATTCAGTGCTTACTCAAGAAAACCTCAAACTAGATTTCCAGTCTTCATTTTTCCCTGTTTATCCTAATTTTGTAGCTACAATTAATTCAAGATACAGGAGATTAAAGAACTTGGACTTAAAAAATAATGGTGACACAGTAGCACCTTAATTTCCTTCTAGTTTCAGAAGGGACAATTTCCTTTGATTCAACTATATCCAAAACAGGCTTCAAATTACATCCAGTTCTACATCCTTGCTTTGCAGGAAACATTGGATCTTGCTAGAGAAGCCATTAGTTATACGAGTAGAAGCAGCAGGTCGAGAAGCTTGGCAACATGTAGGCTGCACCCTGCATTTTCTTTCATAAGTGATGGTTGATGCAATGCAAATCCTAGTCTTGCTAGGAGATTACAGGAAAGCTAGGTGATCTGATTTGAGCAAATTCGCACAGTTTTGCCAGCCATTTGTTGCATTAGTTAGAGATCCATCTGATCCATATACGCATTACGATTAATTGTGTTACAGAACGTATTTAAAAATACTGATCGATGCATGTGTCCTACTAGTATATATGTACGGCAAGACAAAAGCATGCAGGATCATGAGTTGGACAAGGAGCAGGTGAACCGACATTATTTACCTTTTTCTTTGCGGGTGGGCCCCACGCAGCAGCCTATGTTGCTCGCTGAGCTGTTAAATTTACATTGTGTGTCCAATGCCATTGTTAAACATCTACTTCCTTCGTCCCAAAATAAAACAACTTTTATACATACATACATATATATATATATATATATATATATATATATATATATATATATATATATATATATATATGTATATATATATGTATGTATGTATGTATGTATGTATGTATGTATGTATGTATGTATGTATGTATGTATGTATGTATGTACAAATTCATGCATAAATGTTAATTTGTTTAAGTTTGGAAAGGAATACCCTCAAAAAAGTTTGCAAAGGATTGAGAAGATCGCTAGAGTAAAATGCAAACATGAGAGTGCAGCGAGATTATACAAACTATATATGGTGGTACTATTGAATAAACTTTTTGTTGTAATTGTTAAACTCCCATGTGGAACTATAAAGATTGCTTTGGGAAAAAAATGCGAATATTAGGAAGGACCTAATATCAAATAAATAGAAGGGATGAGTCTTCGAACTCAGGCCGGCTAGCTCACCACCATGTGGAACTGGCCGGAGTACCCCTGGGCTTTTCTCTAAAGATTGCTTTGGTTCTAAAGATAAATGCAGAAATGTATGAAATAAGCTCTTTTTATGTTTTCTAAAGAAGAGGGAAATAATATCATATCATTGGTTAAAAAATGTTAAGAGACACAAAGAAAAATAAATAAGATTAGCTAGAATCGGAATAATTAACATATCATAATTGTAGTTCTATTTTAGAAGAGAGAAGGAACCTCACACTATTGTGTAACAAAACTGTACAAAATAACAAGCCCCCTTGAGTAATATTTAACAAATACAGCATGTATACCAACTCAAAAGAGGACATGTGTATAATTAATATAACATGATATATATAGTTGAAGACACCATCAGAAATGCTAAGCCTAGATATATACTACTCTAGCTAGGCTCTAGCTAGCTCATACATATCAATTAATATAAAAATATTATATTAAAGATATATAGTTAATTTGCAAGCATATGCATGACGCAAATGGCACGTTTAATTAATACTATTTGTCAAAACTGCATCAAGTGGAAACAATAGCGCACATGATTCCATTTGAAACTTAGCCATGTCTTCATGTTTGGCAGTGCTAACCGAGAACACGACAATGCATCTTCTACATATTTCACCTAATAGTTAACACACTGACAACTTCATGAAGCTTTCACCGAAAATATTTGAGATAGATCACGTGTCACAGGCCGGCTCAATAACATGGTACAACTTAGATTGGGAGTATAATTAAAATGGGCATAGCTAGGAAGGCAACAGCATAGAACATTGACAACATAATGATCATGCATGTATTAAGACATTGACCCACTCTGGCAAAATCTAGTCTAATAAAAAACTCACAAGGTTAATTAGAACATTCAGAGATGGATCTCATCATGTCCTGATGGTATACTTGTAAATGCAAGTCGCTTTAATCATACAAGGATGGATTTTAAAAAAATAAACTCTTCCAAAACTTATTTCTAAACATGAACCTTTTGGCATGGCGAGACAACAATACCATGTGCAACCCATCATGGCGTGACAGTGTTGTTTCACCTAAGTGGGGTGGTGTGACCAAAAGGTTTGGATTAGAAATAAGTTTTGGAATAGTTTACTTTTGAAATGAAAAAATAAAAGGTTCAAAAGAAATAATAAAGAATCAAAAGGATGTGATAAGAAAATAACTCAAATCAATTAATTAGTTGCTCTTTATTTATGCTACATTGAAAGAAATGAGTTTTTTTTTAAAGGAAAACAAATAAAACAGATGAAAATGTGTTATAAATTTAGGGAAGAATTTAAAAGCAAAGATGACGACTTATTTTCAGTTAGCAACTACTCCACTATAGCTCTAGGTGAATTGGAGAGCTACTAGCTAGGGATCTTTGACTTTTGCCTTCTGTTTGGTTAATTTCAACTTTCAAGTATCATCATTGCGGGACGTTGACTTTCTAATCCTAGTGAGCAATCAAACTTTGATAATCGTGTCACATTAACTAAATGAGACCCATTTAAGTTTAACAAACAAGCGTTTTGACATAGTAAAGTAATTGCTGATTATCAATGGCAACCCCTTCTCATGTAACATCCACGATTTTCGGAGCTCAAGGATTTGTCTCAGCTAGGGATGGCAATTTCCCCCGTGGGGCCGGGTCCCCTACGGGGGCGGGGGCGGGTTCAGTTTTTGACCCGCGGGGGAGGTGGGGCCGGGGGCCCGCATTTTTGTGGGGAGGGGACAGGTGAGGCATTTCACCCGTGGGGTGCCGAAGGGTGTATATTAAATCTCAAAATGTAGCCCATAGAAGATCTAAAAGAGCCACAAAATTTTAAGTAATAGCCTTATCCTCTCCACTCTCCCCATCTCCCCTCCCCTCACTCTCACTACACAGGCGGAGGCGGCGGCGGCGCCACCGCGCCGAAGAAGAACAATGTCCAAGGGCATTTCGGTACTTTCAATGCTCTTTTTCTCTCTGTTTTCACCGGAAATAATAAAATAATGCATCAGGTGTCTAGCAGCTAATTACCATATTTTTGCAATGTCCACAAGAAGATACATGTTCTTTGGGTGTCTCACAGCAAATGTCACAAACTTTGAGTATCCTATAGCAAAATTTGCATTTGATTTAGTACAAACCTAAGGGCTTATTCTGAATGCAGGAATGCAAATTCATAGTACCAATTCCTCCAAACTGAATGAATGAAGTACTCAAATCCTATAGGAATTGAATCCTCAAATTGTTCTCTACAATTTGTAGAAGCCCTAAAATAACTTAGGCCGTGTTTAGTTCGGTGCCAATTTTTTTTTACGTATACGGACACATATTTGAAGTATTAAACGTAGACTAATAACAAAACAAATTATAGATTCCGACTGTAAACTGCGAGACGAATCTTTTGAGCCTAATTAATCTGTCATTAGCAAATGTGGGTTACTGTAGCACTTATGGCTAATCATGGCGTAATTAGGCTCAAAAGATTCGTCTCGCAATTTACATGCAAACTGTACAATTAGTTTTTTTTTCCATATTTAATACTCCATGCATGTGGCCAAACATTTGATGTGACGGAAAAGTTGGAAGTTAATTTGAAGAAAAAAGTTAGAATCGAAACACATGCTTAGTATGAAAGAGTGAGAATGAACTAACCGTACAAGTAAATTTGCAAGTCAAGTCACCACAAAAATTAACCTCTAGCAATCATTGATCTGATCCAACATGGAAAAGGTGAAGACAACCATGTGTGGTTGACTTTTTTAACATATGACAGATGATAAAATTTGGTCAAAAGTTAGCAGCAAACGTACCCACATCCATATATGCATGCATGCATCACATCTTGCAAAGGTGAGATTCTATCTGTCTCTCGATCTGCATGAATCCATGGATACATGTCTGATTGATCTGATCATGCATCACAGTTGAGAAGAAGCTAAGCTAGGTCCACCAATACTGTTAAGTGACTAGTTAAGCAAACAAGATGGTGATGTGCATTGCCCAACTAATGCAATCACAAAAGAAATTTCATGTACATATGAACATATGATGTCAAAGTTATACCTTCACCAATTAGTTGATGCGTCAAATGGTATTGGATTACGTATACGTATCTTGGCAAATAATAGTTGCAAATTGGAATAATACGACGACATAGTATGAATCTATGATTAAACGTACATCGAATGAAGAAGCATCAACCTGAATGAATGATTAGTTGAAGAAGCGTGTAGATCGAAGATTTGTCTAATCAAGTGGCTTAATTATTTGTCCATATATACAACACTACAATACAAACAGATACTACACTGGAACAGCAACTAGACAAAAATTAAGTTCATCTCTCCCTCAAAATGCATTTAATTTATACATTTATATGATGTTGAAATTGCTGGACGATTATGCTAATACAAAAGGTTGATACAATTAATTGATTTTGAGTGTTGTTTGCTGCTTCACTCGGGGACAACACGGTAGATGACGACGAAGCACGGCAGTATGGCCCTTGGGTTCGCCACGAACAGCTCCTCCAGGTTGCCGTACACGCTGCTCGCCGCCTCGTCGCCGGCCACCGAGTCGAACGCTCCCTCCTCCTCCTCCGCACCGCCATCGTCGTCGTTCCGGCGGACACGGCCGGCGATTACGCGGCACACCAGCATTGCCCGGCACCCGCCCGCCTGCTGCGCCGCCGCCGCCGCCGCGCCGCAGTCGTGCGCGCGGCCGCTGCTCGCCGTGGTGCGCACGCCGAGCGGGTGCGCGCCCGCCCACGGCGCGAACCCGTGCCGGATCGCCGCGCACACGCCGCAGGCGTCGTCGTCGTCGCAGAGCGAGGTGGCGCCGTTGAGGCCGAGCGGGCAGGCGAGGGCGGCGGGGTGGAAGCGGAGGAGCTCGTTGCCGTCGGCGGCGGCGCGGGCGGCGGTGGCGCGGCAGCGGGTGCGGACGGCGTCGCGGTAGGCCTCGAAGCGCGCCACGGTGCGCGCCGCGTTGTGCACCTTGAGGATGCGGTCGATCTGGCAGATCGGACGGTCGCGCTTCTGCCAGCTCGACTTGAAGATTATCTCCACGATGTTTCGCCCCGAGTCCTCCGGCCCCAGCTCCGACACTGCATATGCATTGCATGCACTCCAAAATTAATCACTCGCTAATCCTCCAGGGAGCAAGCTAATTAATTGGATCTACCGTAATGTAATGTAATTAGTGGAGAGATTAACCACGCACAGCTAGCTAGCTAAGTGCATTAAATGCAGTGAGTGCATCAGCATGTGCAAGCTAAGCTCACAGTTATCATAGCAGACAGTGTGCAATCAAGGCACTGAAATTCAGGAGATCAGTACTTCATCTCGGCCGCATCAACAACAATAATGGCATTGCAAATAGTGCAGCACTGTCATGTGATAGGACACTTCAATTGACCTAAACAGTTCAAGAGGATGATGTACATGTTCATGCAAGCACATCGATCACTTAACTAACCTTAGTGGCTGCCATGGCCCATGGCAGTTTAAAGCTGTATAATCAGCTATGCATGTTCTGCATCTATTTGGAAGCTTGAGATTCTGCTAAGTAGCTTGTTCGTACCAGAAAAAAGATCATTTTCTAAACAAATATCGAACGAGGGGAGTAGCAAGCTATTGAGAATTTAAAGTTTGATTCCTGGCTTCTGGTGTTTAATTTATTTTCTGAATTCTATAACTATATATTCTTAAACTTGGGTGAAAATCTGATGTGTTTCGAAAGCTGAGAAATTCTATAAGGAGCTATAGCTGCCCTAGAAACTTCATAAAAAAAATAAAGGCATCAAAGGACAAGCAAGTACTCCCTCTGTCTCATTTTAAGTGCAGTTTTGAGTTTTTTCGTCCAACATTTGATTGTCCTTCTTATTTGAAAGTTTTTTTTTATTATTAGTACTTTTATTGATATTAGATGATAAAACATGAATATTACTTTATGCATGACTTATTTTTTTAATTTTTTTATATTTTTTTTAAAATAAGACAAACAGTTAAATATTGGATATCGAAACTCATAACTACACTTAAAATGGAACCGAAGGAGTAAACGACACCTGAACAATCTGAAACTTTGTGTTCCTTTCAGAGTACTAATTTCACAAATTGTGAGTGTGTTCGTGTTTGTGAGGGTACACAAAAGTGCATGCAGATCCTGTGTGCTACCAACTAATATAATAAATTGGCAGATTGGATGGATACTTTGCCCAACTACTGTAGTTGTAGAAGCACTGGGATCTCACTCTGCAGTTCTTTCTAGTACTCCTACATTGATTCTATTGCTTCTGGTGCATTGTCTTAATCAGGCACTGTACTGTCATTGCTGTTAATTAATGATCTTTATAATAACTAATCATGTGCATGCAGTATCCTACATGCATTGAGATGCCATCAGTAGTCAGAAAGCTTCTACCCATCTACCTTCAACAAATGGAGATGCAGATGCGACTGCAAGCATGCAAAAGATGGCTAGGCACAGATACCTTTTGATGTATTTTTGCCATCCAATCTTAACTAAAATAATTAACCAAAGATGATTAATGTGCACAAGACAGTAGCTTCCTTGTAACCCACAAAAGACAAAGGAAAAGAGGAAAAGAAAGATGGGGTTAATAGCTTTGATGAGCAGCATCTTCCTTCTCCTTTCTGTTTGTCTCCTCTCCTCTCATCTCATCTCATCTCACATGGTTTGATGTGCCAAGAAACTAGTAAACTAATAACACTGTCACTCCACTAAGATTATAATAATAATTATCACAATATTGGTGTCTATGTGGAAATATCCATCATCATTTTGTCATGAGTAAACCAATCATATTGACTGGGCAATATATAGTACCCACACACGCAGATCTCAATGCCTCCTCATTAGTGTTACTAACTTGGATTAGCTAGGAGTACTATCTTAACTTGTTCTACACCCCAAAAGCATTGACTACTATTCACACAACATGAACCTCAGTTTGTCATTTTTCGTTAGAATGGAGATGGTTGATATCAATATCGTTTACGGTTTATGTAAAGTTGATGAAATTTGTAGAAATTTTCATCAAAATTTAGTTAATTACCAGCATGGCGAATGGCTTGGTGGTGCTCCAAGCTGTCGGCCTTGTTGAACACCTCCCCACACTGCGAGCATGCGCACAGCTCCCGTGGCCTCGGATACCTCCTAATTAACACCAGATTATTATTCGCTAATCAAGTTAATTATGAGCTTAATTAAGTAATTAATCGGATTAGGAGGAGACCTTGACATGGGCTCGACGTTGATGGCGCGGCACTCGTAGCAACCGGAGAGGCCACGGAGGGAGGCGTGGTGGCCGCCGCCGCCGCCGGAGGAGGAGGTGGCGGCGCGGTGGGCGCGGCGGGAGGAGCGGGTGAGCGGGGTGGTGTCGCGGTCGAGGGACGCGGCGGCGGTGGACGCCGCGGAGGCGGAGCTGGCGGCGTCGACCACGTCGCGGATGGCGCAGAGCGACGCGCCGCACGCGCCGGCGCCGTGGCTGCGGAGCCGCGACAACGCGGACGACGGCGCGGCGGGGTCGTGCACGCGCGCCGCCGCCGTCGCGCTCCGGCAGCTCAGCAGGCTCTTCAGCTGCTCCCACGACGACGACACCGGCGCGGCCGACGCCGACGGCGCACCACGAGACGGCGTCGTCGGCGCCGCCGCCGCCTTCTTGGGGCGGTGGCCGGTCGTCGTCTTGGCCGCGACGACGACCTGCTTGGTGCTCTTCTTGGACGACGCGGCCATGGCGCGGTGGCTTCCACTCCCTGCAGGCGGCGGCGTTCTCGGCGTCGGTGAGAGCGGCGGCGGCGGCGGCTTCTTCTTGCGCTTGGTGTGGTTGTGGTGGTGGTGGTGGCGGCGGCGGTCGGAGGTGTCGGTGGCAGTGGCCGTCTTGGAGGAGGAAGAGGAGGAGGAGGGGAGGAGGAGAGTGGAGAGCGCCATGGGAGGGGAGGGGATACTAGCTTGGTAAGCGAGGTGGTACTAATAAATTTTCTTCTCTCCTAGTTAGTGCAACATGGGAGAAGGTGTGATATATATCAAGGCTCAGCTCTCCACCCTATTAAACATTTCTTTTGTGAAAAAAAGAGAGAGAAGAAATCATATATATCTATAAAGTCCATCCCATCCCCCAAGTATAGTTAATGCATATCACCTCAATTATTTTTAGCCTTTGGATGATTTATCAAGGATGTAAATTGCATCTCTTCACATCACCTTAATTGTTTTTAGCCTTTGGATGATTTATCAAGGATGTAAATTGCATCTCCTCACATCTCCTTAATTGTTTTTAGCCTTTGGATGATTTGTTGAGGGTGTAAATTGCATTTCATCCCTTCAAAAGACACACCATACAATCCAATCATTATAACCTTTGGATAATTTATAAAGGTAAAAAATATATAAATACATGAAAAAAATCGTATAGTAGATAAGAAAGAAAATTTTAGAACTTGTATCTACTATATTTTCACGCAATTCTGCAGCAGCAACACGTGGGTTCCCATGTAGTTAATTAATATGGCAGTGGATATTGTGTGAGAAATTTGGATCTGAAAAAAATTAATGGAGAAGTGGGCATTAATGCAACCTCAGGACCAGGGTAGTGGGGTTGGATGCATTTATTAAAATACCCCTGGACCATAGTGTGAAATGTTTGAGTTCATGATCCTTTCATTCAGCAAAGTACTACAGTGTAATGACTGTTGAAATGCGTGTTGTGGTAAATTAACAGAGATAATGAAGATATACAGCGCATTGTATTGTACTTGGGGTGCCATCTCATTCTACCTGGGACAACATAGCGTGTAGATCATAGATGATGGTGCATCCATTGCCAACTCTAATAGAGTTATGTAAAAAATATAGCAACTCTAAATAGGTGTAGATCATTGAAGTCACGATTATGAATTGGTTTCTGACATGTGGATACATGTTACCTCGGGTCTATATGTCAATGACAAGGTCATATGACTTTTTGTGTCAGAGGAACCTGATCCCAAACTGTATTGTAACTTCTCTTCAACCCTAACGAGTATATGGTAATCGGCCCATTGAAAAATCAATTTTTTATCTGCATTTGTAATTCATGCAATTTCAATTTTCTGCAAGTTTGGAATGCAAATAATATATTCACAGCACATAAAAAACCATGTAAAGTAGACATAAAAAGTATAGAACTATTGGATCCCTGGTAGGTGAGTCAAAAATGTGATTCCACGATTGTTGTTTACTAAATCAATGAAGTAAATGTTTCTTTTTCTTTTTCTTTTTTTTGCTTTGAAACACATAGTCATTAAGTAAATATGATCATAAGTACCGGACCAATTGTAAAGTTAACTTGTCAACATTTAGAATTGTTACTCTATATTCTCAAACAGAAATGAAAAAAAAATGGTTTGCGCACATCTTTTCAAAGAAGAAATATAGAATATTGATAAACTGTATTGTCCTCTCCAGCAAAGATCGCCCCTATTGACATTTCCTTGTAGGTACAGGCTTGCATGAGACATCCCAACATCATAGTTAGCTTAGCCACCAACAGGTGAGAAAACAGTACTACTTTCTCTGAAAACAACATGTGAGAAAAAAAAAGGGGGGGGGGGTACATATATAGTGCATAGTATATTGTCACTAAGTACCAATGAATTCAGCAACCATTTTATTTTCATTGATTGGTTAACTTCAGCAATGAGAGCTAGCTATCTAGGTCCACAAAATTTGACCACCAAAAGTGTTTGAAAAATCGACCATCCACCGCGAAAGATCGCAGGAAAGAAACTGAATTTCTTGGGCTTGAATCATGAATGCCAGATCGATCTCGATGATTTCTGCCTGCTTGATTCATTTTTTTGCAAGTGGTAGGAGTGTGGGACAGTTTCAGAGGACAGCTGTTTGTTTGGCCTGCAATCTTGTGTTGTGGAGTAGCTAGTACCAGAATGGGTAGAGATCCCCTCTTTTTGGGTTGCATACTGAAATTGTGTGTTCCATGATAAGAACAATGTGATCAATTGGAGCCTGGTAAGGGACATTTGCATGGATTGGTACCACAATCTCATTGGAAGAGCAACACATTATTTGTGAACATGTTCCTGAGTACAATGGGAGAGTTGCTTGCAGATGAGCTTGTGTCCAACTATGTTCTTTTTTTTCCTGTAAAATAACCATTTTTTCTCCGTTTTGCATGAATAAACCATAATTTATAAATATTTCAAAAACATACTGCAACCGCTGGGGAGTTCAGAAGCTAAGTCCTTCAGACAGATATTAGTGTGCTGGTGAGAAATTTGTTGACGAGATAAGGTCTCAACAGCTAGTGTCGAATGTTTGCCTAATATATTAAAATAACGCTTCTGATAGATATTGGAAGATTTCCAGATCAATTGGTGAAAAAACTGATGCATAAGCTAGCCATGATCGCAATTATTATTATTATTTTTACAATCTGAAAGAAATCTGATCATTTCAGAAGTGAAACTATCTCTCTCAAAAAGAAAAGAAAATACAGAGGAGAGAGGTTGAGCTTCCCCATCACACCACAGGATGAGGGAGTTGCTAAGTACTAAATTAGTATGCTATTCTCAGTTGCTTACCTGCCTCAAGTAGGTTAACTGCCCTCTCACTTCATCCATGTCCTCATGTCCCTTTCTCTTCCTTGCTATAATCTCTCTCTCTCTCTACGATTAGTTAATGTCAGGATCATCTACCATATATGTGTCTTCTCTCAAATTTGGAGTTATTGGATGCAACATTAGAGTTTCTTGGCAATAATTTGGATTGAAAAGATTCAGATGTTAGCAACACCACATGGCGACGAAATGTCAGGACTCCTTGTGACCTTGTCCATGAATACAAGCATACTATATTTGCAAATGTAAACTACTTAAATAAGATGTGATGCCTTTAGAATTCATACAAGAGCAACAAAACATGCCCTACGTGGATTATCGCCAATGATCAAACTTTATTCTTCAACCAATGAACCAAAGCAACCTAGCATCTTAATTACCAACTGAACTATAGGTAGTTGCATTACATCACATCTAGGCTGAAACTAATACGATGCTTGCTTCAAAACAGAATATACAGATTATTTCTGAAATGCTGACATGCTAGTGACAAGCATGGTATGGTAACATGGGAGAGCTAATGCTAGTGAGATATACATAAGATGCTTGAGCTTTCTGGCCAACCATGCATGCTACCATTTTGTCTGGTTTTCCTTCCTATTTTTATGAGCTGAAAGCAACAGCGAAGAGGGAGGAGTCCGTGGTAGGTATGAGGCATCTTCAGGGTGAGCTAGCAGCTGGTTTGCATGGCACCAATTTTCTCACAACAAATCCCCAACCAAAATGCATCCAAGGAAGAAAAGGGAAAGGAAATAAAAGTAAGGAGGACATGAAAATTGTACCAATGGTTGTTGATTATCTGATCAGCCTGCTAACCTCTTCTAGAAATGGGTTCAGAACCTGTACTTCTGAGAGGGAAAATGACAACAAATTCCAATAATTGAATTGGATTGGGTTATTTGTTAGGACAAATGCATGGTGATGTTTGCATCTGATCAGCATCTGACATGCTTGCACTGCACGCACTGACTTGCTCTGCAAATGTTGGCGCAGAGCAGCAGCAGATCTGTGCATTAACTTGTGGAGATGTGAGGAGTAAAGGTAGTACAGGCAGGTGATCCACATGTATGTGAGTAACTCTGATGATCTGATCTCTGAAGCCCATTGCAGTAATATGCAGCTGTTCTATGGATCACAGATCCATGGATCCAGCCAACTGCTCCATCGTGGGCTCCATTAACAAGCTGTTTGCACTTTGATTACCCTGAACTTTATTCTATCCATAAAACTGAGATTGTCTTCAGGAAAAAAAAAGGAACTAATCTAATTCCAGATACTACAAGACAATGAAAAACAACCGGCGGTTTCGTTAAGTGTTCAACTGTTCATACACCAAGGCAAGGAACCAGCTACAGTTGAATAGTGCCCTCAAGGACAAGCTTTCTAGAAATTTTGCCAGACATGATCCAGACCACGAGTTACCCAGATGCAATCCCAGGTCTGAATTGAAAGGTACTAAATAAAAGCCAACACAATAATACAAAGGTGTCCCATGGGCTTTGTCTGAGCCCTTAAGACAGAATGTACGAATCAAAAGTTCCATATCCAGCATGTGTAGGGGAAACTGAGTTACTGTTCCAATGTACCCTCGACTCCATACAATTAACATTTCAACATTTCATGTTCATATGAGAACGCAGGAGATGCCACCATCCACATCAGGATTAAAGAGCGTGACAAGATCATGGCATGGCATGTTCCCAAAATTAATTCTCTTCTACAGGACCATTTCCTTCAGTGCAATCACTCTTGGGCGGGCAAAGATCATGATTCTTCGTCACTTTCATTGCCAAAAACCGATGACATTTTTGTAGCAACCTTAGGTTTCTTGCTTACATTGCCAACTGGAGCCTGTCCGTGCAAAAGAGTAGCCAAGTTAACAATTAGATACTGCTGCAAAAAATAACCGATAAAACAGTGTTTTTTTCTTAAAAAAACAACCTAACGTTTGGAGCTCCCATGACACTACAGTATAATGGAGTTTGGTGGTGCACAAAGCCACAAAGACGACCCGGTTGACATGTCGAAAGGATAGTAGTATATGCATTATATTCTCACTTTAGGCCAAATAAGTTAATGTGTCAAAAGCTTCTAGAAGAGCACATATGCTGAGAGGAAATTACAGTTTAACAAAAAAGCCTAAGAAAGTTTCAACTTAACGGCAAACTAGAGCAATGAAAAAAGAATGGAGAATATAGAAAAGATAAAACAAATTCACAGAGTTCCATGCAAGCACACAACTACTTTACTTCCATAAATGGTCATATCAGTTTAACAAAATATGTTGTTCAGATGTGGGGTACCTTGGAAGGAGCCATTTTGGAGAAGCCAAACTTCAAGGTTTTACGCTGATCCTGATTTGAAGGGTTAGGCAAGTTCTTCATTGTAATTCTCTCTGATGAGCTCTCTGATGGTTCTTGCTTCTGCTGCTGCTGCTTTCTATGAGCATCAGCACTGAAGTCCCATTAAGGAAATTGCAAGTTCAATAAACATTCAGCACATTTGTTCATAGTTAGCACATCATTGAGTTATCATTGTTATTGACTAAAACATGGGATGGATACAGTTGAGCAAATTTTGCCAGCTCCTTCTCTTCTCGTTGCTGCTCACGTTTCTGCCTGTCATCACGGCTGCTGCTGCTGCTGCTTTGCATTTCTTTCATTTCCTTGAACCTCTGTTGTAACCACAGTGAACTTATCAGAAATATAGTCCTGAACAATTAATATGTAAGAGTGAAGGGGGAATATATGTATGTGCACCCATACTTCACAAAAGAAAAGGCAGTAGAAGAGAAGTTCGCTGCACCAAGTAAACACATTACCTTCCTATGATTGTGGTCGTATGAGCTCAAATGAGACTCAAATTCATGCGCCAATTTGTACTGCTTGTTACAGAGACTGCAAAAGAACACCTTCTGTATCTCCTTGACCTCACTACGTATTTTCTGCTCGCGTTCTGCTATGACCTGGATTGTCATGATTTGCACCAAGCAGGAAAAAGAACCACCAAATAAAAAATGCCCAAAATGCTCAAGGATCATGAGGGCTGATGCTAGCAACTCTTGCATGAATAAGATACAAATATCAATATGTAATGCCAACAGCTAGATATAAGATTTCAAAGTGCAAGCATCAACCCTGAAGAAATAGAATATTAAGGAATCAGTGTTCGATTGCACACCTCGCGCTTCTTTATATGTTCTTCAGTCTCCTCAAGCTCTATGTTTAATTTCCTCCTTTGCACATTATCTTCTGATGTGAAGAAGTCATCTTGCTCTTGCTTCCCCACACCCAATTTTGCATCTCTGATACCAGCTTTTATTGGCTCTGTTATACCTATATAACATTAAAGAGAAAAGGGCATTGTCGTGAAGGTGCCAGAATTTTAGCAGAAAATATTAAAGCGATGACTGTTTTTTTTTTAATCAATGATAGTAACTAGTTAGAAAAATAGAGAGAACTCAACATAATGATAGTTAAAAATTTTGAATAGACATAAAGGGATAACTAACAAAAGAGGTTAAATCATATAGTTCAGTCAAGTCGTTATGCCACAGACATGGTGATTAGTTATGACTAGTCTTGTACTGCTCAAACAGAAGGTGCAGAGAGAAAGGGGGAAGGTTCAGAGAAGAATGAGGAAGGAGCAAGGATTGATCAACAAAACAAAATAGAGGAAAACAGAGTAAAGTAACATCACCAAGAACAAAAGGTTGCATTGATAGGAACTACAGCAAGTCATTGCATTGATAGATTTTCCTAGTTTACACCTATAAAACTAGCCTGTTGAAAGACCAGATATTCCAATCTAGTGCCTCCCAACAGAGCAACCTTCACAAACAACAACGTGATAATTACGGAAAATGAAGCATAACAGATTGGCAGTCAATCATCTCATAAAATTGCTCAACTAACCTTAACCTAATGCTATACTCCCTCTGTCCCAAAAGAAGCCAACCTAGGAGGGGTCGCATCCTAGTACCACGAATCTGGATAGCCCTTTGGCCAGATCCGTTGTACTAGGAGGGGTCGTAAGCCTAGAACTAGAATACCTAGAACTAGAACACGACAGAAGCAAGAACCGCCAACATCCCTTTAAATCTCCTATCCCTTGCCAATTCAGTTATTCTCCATTCGTAGCCATGCATACCATAATATGTTATGCATGAAGAAATTAAACCTGAACTTAGCCTAAGACAAGATTTTATTAGAGATGCATGCAAATGTAGTGACAGTTACTACGCTCACAAACCACAACTACAAAACTAAGGAATTCAATAAGGATTGTGGAAACTGGTAAGCTTAAGATGGCAGAGCCAAGTGTTGAAACATTAAGCTGTTGCTGACAGTGTAGTTTGAAAAGTTAGGGGTGTACTGCAATGGAGGTAAACAAGATGGAGAAAGCAAGTGAGCGAGGTAGAGAAGATGAAGTTTTATACCTTGCTCGTTCTTGCCGAGCCCCTTGCCCTTCCACCCCATCTTCTGGAGCAGCCTGAATCCGACGTTGGAGGAGGTGAGCTGCGTGTCAACGGACGCCTGCTCCAGCCCCTCCGTCTCGAGGTTCTCCGTGGGGCGGTGGCTCATGGGCAGCCGGAACTCATCAAAATCATCCTCCAGCTCCTCCTCCTCTTCCACCGGAGCTCCATGAGGATTCCTGCTGCTGCTTCCGCCGCCGCGATCTCGCCTCTCCTGAACAACAGAAATCGGTCAGATGGATCTGGAGCAGATCGGAACGGAGAGGTGGGAGTGGTTGCTACTCACCATGGCTTCGTAGACAGACGCGAGGTGGGGGGAGGGATGCTAGGGTTTTCGTCGGAGACGCCTCGCCGCCGCCGCCGCCGCCGAGACGGAGTGAGGAGAGGGGATCGGAGGTGGTTGCCGTACGGTTGGGCCTGAACGGGCTTATATTGTGCTCCGTGCGGCCCACTAATATTGGGCCGTAACGTGTTGGTTCGGCCCACGTTGACCACGGCTCCCGCCAGAACTCGACTTTGGTGGACTTCCAAAAAAACTCGAATTTGGAAAATGAAAAGAAAAAAGAAAAGAAAAGCATTTCTTGTCCGAGTCGAATCAGCAGCAGCAGCAGCATGTACAATAACAAATAAAGCTGAGAATGTACAATAACTATTTTCAGTTTTTTTTACAAATTATAAAAGTTGAATTTGGTATTGCATGTTTGTGGAGTGATATATTTCATATAAATCTATGTTGTCAATTTTTTTCGAATATTTTGATAACTATTTAGTGGTTACAAGAGTCTCAGTAGCACCTTAGGTCCTGGTTGGACTCCTCGTGGGAGCGAATTTTCCAGGATTTAACGGCTTTGTGTTTTCAGTGGTAGGCGATGTACCCGTCGACAGCGAGGCGCCTGTGGTGATTTCGTCAATCTCCAAGATGGATTTGCCGGCTCAGTTTTCGAAGATGCTCGTAGGGGTAGGGTTTGCGTGTGTTCATAGGGGTGAGTGGATGTGCGTTGTGAGTATCTGCGTTGTACTGTGTAATTTAAAAAAAACGAAGGGGTGTCCTCTTGAGGAATGAAAATCCACATCCACATTAGTCGCATGGTGATTTGAGGGTATGCCGACACGTCTGAAGTGGAACTTGGTGAAGAAGGTGAGGTCTTCATGATCTCACCCGAGTGGTTTGACGCCAACTCAAGGGAGAAAACTTTAGGGTAGGTCTCTGCCGTATTTGATAAACCAAACGGAGTGGAGTGGTTGTCTCCTACCGACTGGTTTGAATCCGAGCTAAGAAAAGAGATCTTGCCGAAATTGTCGGTGATGAAGTCAAGGCTGCCAAAGCGATACACCTGCTCTTGGGGGAAGGCGAAGTCGTCGATGCCTGATGTAGATCCCATCGCACTAGTCGGCGAGAAAACTTGACGCTGCCCCTACCTAGCGCGCCAACTGTCAAAACTATATTTCAGCAATACTAAAAGGGGTAGCGAACAAGTAGGAAAGTAGATGGGTTATGAGATAAAAAAAATTATACAGGTTCAGACCCTCTCAATGAGAAGTAATATCTTACTCCTGTCTGGGAAAATATTCCGCTGATTGTGGTATTGATCTGACGATCTCAATTGTGGTTATGCCCCCCAATAAGGCGTCCTGCCCTCCTTATATAGTTGGAGAAGCTGGGATTACAAGATAGAGACTTTATCTTTACGGTTTAAATCTCTATAACTACTTTACAATCATAACCGACTAAGATTACAGGTTATTTACTTGATACACAAGACAACGCAATACCCGAGTCTTATCCTATACATATTCTAACCATATGATTTATTATCCCATGTAACCAGTCGGAGAATCAATCATTGTGGGTATATGGTATCCATAATCTCTACAGATGCAATGATGGAGTAAGATGACTGACCAGAACCTGTCAAGAACGGCCCGACGAGATCTATTTGACGACTAGGGTATTGGCTTTCTCTGGATTTATATCTTGATGTGGCTTTGACTATAGCTTGTAACTCGATGCCCCTCCCTTCTCGAGGAGGCCTTGTGTTTATAGCGATGATCACCTTCTTCTCTAAGTTAACTCGGAGATATAGGACAACATACGAGTTAAGGAGACCTTATCTTTCCCGACTAGGACTCTGATACTTTCTGTCTCGGGAAGATAATTTCCTTCTAGATGTGCTGCATTTCCCTAATCAAAGGGTACCTTTCCGTATATAATTAGGTAAATAGTATTTCCGTATAGTATAAACCAAAGTATAGGAGGTATGCCTTATCATTGACACTGATAATATTACTATAATTTTTTGTTATAATATTTAAATAAATAAATATTCAATTTTATTAAAGTACTTTTTAGAATAATCTATAAATAATAATTTTCTAGTATCTTCAAACTTAGGGCCTTTTTGAAACGTGGGATTGGAAAAACTTAGGATTTTGACAATAATGAGGATCCCTTTGAAATGCATGATCGAAAAAATTGTAAGAATAGGAAAAACAAAGAAATAGGATATGAAACATATGCAAAACAGAGAATTGGAAAACACAGTGTTTGATTGGACCGTAAATGGGTCTGTATTATTGGAGTTAATTGAGTTGGTTATTTACTTATACATATCTAATCTACACTAATTGAATAGAAAAGTGACCATGAGCTACTAGATTTGTCTCGATCCTAAGCGAGATAGCTAGAACTTTAGCTTAGAGTGAATGTTAAATTTCCTATATTTTTCCTCCAGAATCATAGGAATAGGAAAGTTTCCTACATTTTTCCTTTACTCATTCCTAGCAATTAAAGGCATGAACAGTGTACGATTTTAATTTCTTTGTTTTTCTTCCATTTTTCCTCCAATTAAAAGGGGCACTGAAATAAAGCATTGCAAAACACAGAAAAATAATAAGAATGGTCGTTTGATTGGATCACAAGAAAAACACAGGAATTAGAGGAGAGATAAAAAGTCAAAAGAAAATTTCATGAGATTCTACTTCATATTAAATTTCCTCCAAAACTTGCATGGAAGAGGTATTCCATAGGATTCATTTGTGTCTATTCCTTTTATTCAAGGAGCTATCTACTAGAAAAATAATCCTATGAGGATAAAATTCTCCAAAATTCCTACAACTTCCGTTTGATTCAAAAGTGGGTCTTAATAATTACTAGTCATAAGTCTAGTCACCTCAATCTCACAAAACGAGAGGAAAATTTTGAACCGGAAGCAGTAGTGAGCCACCAACTAGCACGGATACAAAACAAAATCAAATGTCAAATAATTTGACTGAGAACAACGATAATTTCTTACTCAAGTGTTAGCCCATGATTCATTGATTCGTGAACGCCGTTCGTGCAGGTTTATGGCCCCCCAAAATTAAATGTGCAAAAAATTAGGTCGACTATGGAAGATAATATAGTGCGAACACATCAATTTGTCCCATACGCATGTTTCCTGATCAACACAAATGATTTAAGAATAGATCTCTCAGGCCTCGTTCTTATAGGCTAGGTTTGGGGGGAATGGGCCGAAATCCCCGTGTGCCATCCCGGCCAGATCTAATTTTCTTCCGTGGTGCATGTACGCGTTCGCCTGGCCCGAGGTGGGGTGGGGGAAATTCTCCACCCGATCCATGCCAAACCCCCGGTACAGAAAAATCGTCTCGGAGACGATTTTTTTCTTCCCGAGCATACACGGCGCTCATCTTCCTCGACTCCTCACGGCGCTAGGTTTGGAGGCGGCGCGAGGTCCGGGAGCAGCATATCTCCAGCCACCACTGGTCTCCTTCCCGCCCTCGGTCACCGCCGGTCTCCATCCCGCTACAGCCGCCGCCGCTCGCCATCTCTCCTTCCTCGCTTCGGATTCACCGGTTGCGGGAGAGGGCAAGGTCGAGGGCAACAGCCCGGACATCAAGAAGCAGGTCTGATTCTTGATCTCCTCTTTTCCTACTATGAAAAGATTTTGTGACTTTTCTAGTGGATGAATTTGTTGCTAGTTGATGTATTGAGTGGCTGTATGGATTGAAGTATTAGTCATATTTCTAACCTAGTTGGTGCTCGGTGTCTGTCCTTTCTCCCACCAATCATTAAGATGAGCGAGTAGAAGCCAAACCAGTCTTTCTGATTTTGCACGATCTCCCTTTGTATACTGACAGTTGACAGGATCAAGTGAAATTAGACAGCTCCATTTCAGTGTTAGGTGCTAGTATTAGCCTGTCATTGTTCCAGTTGCTTCTCTCATGCAGAGGTGCAGAGCACAGCTTCTTGTCCTGCTGCTTGCAAAGATCAATTTTTTCGTTGGCTTTGTTCCAACATTGAAGGTTCACCTGATATGATTCGATCAACAAAATTAACAGTTTAGCTGAAGAAATGTTGTGAGATAATAGCTGTGAAAAGTGTGAAATGCCTATTCAACAATTCTTTAGAAGTGCACTCTCTGTAATGTAATACATTCCAAAGGAAATTGCAAATGAAACTTGAGTGAAAATTTGTCAGGTAGTTATAGATATTTAAAGTTGACCGATTTCCTCTTTGCTGGACAGGTCCTACATTATTGGTTGATACTCCAAGAAACACAAATATAACAGGTATTATGCATACTTTTCTTTTTCCAAGGAGCTACCTGCTCTATCACGAACATAATTAATAATTATATGATATATCTGATGAATTTACCACATTCAGCAGTGCTGCCACTGCCCATGGTCTCACAGATATGACAAAAACATGAATATCATTGACTAGCTCAATTATTACTATATGTAGTGCAGAACTACGGAGTACGGACAAATCGACATATAACTCATTTGTGTTGATATTGCAACTGTTGGCATTGCAAGTTCTGTGCTTATATTCAAGGATTAACCTTTCAGGGAAGAACAATATGAAAAATGAGACGCTGGCTTTCTGGTCCGTTCAGACAAAGACAAGTAGAGATGATGTATATCAGGGTAAGTACTTTATCTGTCCAAATAGTCCTTGTTTTCTATAGCAAGTATGGTTGAGTGCTTAAAAGCTGAAAATTGTGAGTATATGTACTGGGCTTAATCGTGCCTGACCTTCTTCCTTGTCTTAAAAATATTTTTGTTCCAGAATTGTAGATGATAACTCACTTCTTATTTTAGTTTTCCAAATTAACACAGAATAATTGTCACTTTCCAAACAAATTTTCATATGACTATTCAGGTGTCCATAATGTTTCCTGTTTGTTTTTCAGGTTTTTAAGATTAAGAGACATGACTTTTGATGGATTTGGAAGCTGATGGTGGTAGTTGCCGAACTCTCTTTATTTTTGGGAAAAATTCGGAGACAAGGAAAAGTTTGTTTTCAAGGGCTTGATGATAAACTAGTTTTAGTTTCGTCAGTTCTTTTGGGGTTTGCCTGCAGAACTGTTATTCGTAGTAGAATGGTAATTCAATTAGCAGAACTGCAGATTTAGGAGTCTGTAATTGTACTGTTTCAACAGATCAGTATATGCAGGGCCGAATGTGGAAGACGATATATGCGCTTAATTTCCAATCTATTGCTATACTAGTATGACAACTCAATCTCTTGTCTGTGACTAGCATATCTATGGAAAACATATGATTATTTTGGATGTTTTACTGCTTGTAGAATTTAATCTATCCAAAATTATGATTTTTTAAAAAAAATTCTGGACTATTTTTCAGAATTCGTCTGTGGTAAATCTACGTTTTTCTATTTTTGGGGGCTTTTTACAATTATTTTGCACATTGATTTTTTTTCTGTTTTCATGATCAATTTTTTTTCTTATCATTTCTGAATTATTTTGAATGGTAGTGATCCCTTCTAATCCCCCTCTATCCAAACCCAGGGATAATATCTGCTAATAATCCCACCAACCACCCGCGCAAGTGGACGAGAGGGGGATTCACAGGGAGGGATTGGGTGTCAGGTGGGGGAACAACCTGAAACAGGCGTTTCCGGAGAAAAAAAAAATCCCCTTTTCTCCCGGCCCCTTCCCTTCCATCTCCGGCGACCCTCCGATCGCCGGCGTGAGGGGAGGGGGCGGGATTTTCGTCCCTTTAGTAATCTATTAGCTTAGGTGTTGGTCTTCTCTCGTAGTCGGGTCTTCCTGTCGTCGGGTTCTTCCCGTTTGTTCAAGTCGATGGATCGCCGGAGTTCGGCACCGTCGTCCCGGCGACGGAAGGAGTCGCTTTTAGTCGCCGAGGGTTTAGTTTGGAAAAACAGAGGAGGAGTTGCAATGAGGGGAAGGCAGATCGGTCAAAGGAACTTCTTCAACCTGTCAGATCCAGCACAAGTTTGGTGGCGCTGCCCCCTCCCTGCATCTGGCCGGCACGCAACGACAGTTGCGGCGTTGGCTGCCTTGTCCCCGGACACCATGACCCACCCTCTCCGTCTCCGGCCTCTCCCCCTCCAGATGTTGGGGCGGCGACGGTGTTTGTTGGGGTGGCGACAGCTCTCGGATTCAAGGACAGCAGGTAACAAAATATTTGGCAGCCTGTGCTTCTCGAGAATGCTGCGTTGGTGCTGGTCGGATTGGTGCTTGCATGATCTGTTGGTAGATGGGCTGGGGATGATAGTTGCTCATCAAGGAATTGCAGCTGGCCACCAGGTTAATTTCTCCTCATCCTCCTTTGTTGAGCTCCAAGCTGAAGTAGAAAGACAGCAGATCAATCAATGCCATCCTAGTTCTTGACTAAGGTTGGCCGGAGTTTGGGGACCTCTTTCTTGATGTTTCTATGCAGTGGTACCCATGCTGGGTTCGTCGTTCGGGTTGAGGGCAGACCGTCCGAGCAATCTTGTTTCGCAGGATTGCAAGTCAGTGCTCCTCAGATTCAATGATAAACTCCGTGGAAATCAACTGTTAAAGTCCGGTGAAGCTCACACCAAAATCTACGACTCAACAACAAACCTTCAATTTGTGCCGTTCCCGTGGAGGCAACCAAAGGGGATTATCGGTTTGTCAAGCGGTGTGCACGTCAATGAAGGCCCATGGATGTAGTCGTCACGGCAACGCCGCTACTCCTGTCGATCTCATCCATTATCACTGTATGGCTACATCAGGAATTTGTTTCCCTTAGTTCAGTCTGTCTCATCTTTAGAAAGGATGGTTTGGTGTATGATCAATTTGTACTGGGGATTCTTTCCCTAATCTCTGTCTTTTCTATATAATAAAATGAGTACTTTTCAAAAAAATAAGGTGGGGGAACAACCCAAACCCCACGTGGGTTGATTTTCCTTTAGATTAATTTCCACAGATAGCCTCACTGATGGTGCACCGGCCGGGGTTGACTTGACTTGAGTTAAGCTATAGCTAGGTCCTCGTTCCATAAATCCGGCCGGCACCAAGCATATATAGTCTTGCATTGTGCTCCAACTCCGTCGACGAGAGACGATTATATTGATCGATCGTTCAATTAACCAACAAGCAGCATTTACTTTGAGTCTCGATCGTCATGGCGTTGGAGGTTGTGGCGGTTGGGTGGGCGATCAGGACGATCGGATGGATCGTGTCGCCCATGACCACCAAGGCGGTGAACAAAGGCATCGACCTGCTCAACTGCGACCAAGAAGCCCAGCTGCGCAACCTGGTGGCATGTCTTGAGCCGCAGCTGCGTAGGCAGATGGAACACATGACATCCATGCCGTATCTGGACAAGTGGGTGCAGAGCCTCAGATCTGCCTTCTACGACGCAGAGGACATCGTGGACATCCACGATTACCTTAACCTCGCCCTCCACATGCAGCTTTGTCGCTTTGGCTGCAAACCAAACCAAGTGACCTTTTTTTCCCCCTTCTAATTCAAATTACTAACCATATTTATAAAAAAATAAAATATCAAAATACGTTCAATATTAGATATATTAAAACTAATTTGGTACTATAATAAAAATTCTGATTTACTATCCGTATAATAATAAAAAAGAATTGATACATTGCACTACCAATACTAGTATTCGTAGAGCACTAAACCAAACAAGCCCATAATTCCCATGGCCATGATTTATCTTAAAAACTAGGGGATTCCCCGTGTTTGCTGTGGGAATTACTAAGTAATTTTCAATATTATTTTTCGTTACAATTCAGGTAGGAGTAAAAAGAAAAAAAATCAAATCTCAGGGCTTATCGATATTTATCAAGAAACAAATGAAATTCGCACTTTAATGTAGAACATGTTTATAAGTATATATTAAATATTATAAAAATAATAGAGATTTGTAAAACTATTGTGGAAATGATGTGAGATGTGGTGATTGAATATGCTTGCGTGCTAATTTGTAGAATTAAATAGATTGTGGATGCTCTTGCATGTTTGCATGAGGTTGAATATGTAATTATTGTTAGTGGGTGATGATGTGGTATGGTTGCATGTGAAACTTTAGAGTTAGTGGGTTATAACTTTACAGAAAGTATAGATTAACCATGGCACGTGGCCAAATCAAATGGCAAAAGACCGGCAAGCTTGAGGATGATAAGATATATCAACTGAATTCGGAGATTGTTCCATCATTAGCAACTCTATTTTGGACCTTGCTCAGATAAACTTGTTAGTCCACAATGGTAGTATACTTTACACCTTCTAGCCCCCTCCTCCACCTTCACCACAAGAAGTTTCAGGACTGGGGGAGATAAAAGTAGTACTCCTTCCGTCTCTAAATATTTTTGACACCGTTAACTTTTTATCACATGTTTGACCGTTCGTCTTATTCAAAAACTTTTGTGAAATAAGTAAAAGTATATGTATACATATAAGTATATTTAACAATGAATCAAATGATATGAAAAGAATTAATAATTATTTAAAATTTTTGAATAAGACAAACGGTCAAACATATTTAAAAAAGTCAACGGCGTCAAATATTTAGAAACGGAGGGAGTACCATTTTTACAATTTTGCTTAGGTATTCAGAATGGCCTGGAGACTAGAGTGGGTATGCATGGGAATAATATATAAGTAATTAATTGTGACATGACGGTGAAATCCAGCTTGCAAATTTTGCCATTTTTTTAAGCACATGGTTAGTTCAAACACGTGACAGTTGTTTTTTCATTTAATTTTCAAGATTAAACGCTGAAGCTTTAGTACAAAGTTGCTTGAAAACATCGTAGAAAGGAATTTTTAAGGCTCATTTGGAAGAAATTTAGTGTTTGAATCATACAGTAAATATTCTACCGAGTATTTGATCAGTTTGGAACAAAAGATTGAAATTTAGAACTTCCAAAAATCATATGAAATTTATTTGGAATGGTTCAAGACAAGGGGATTTTTTAGAATTCTCCCCTAAAATTCACGTGGTTTATCCAAGTGGTTAATTTTGTATTTTACCTATATTTTCCAATCATCTGTTTTACTCATAGATTCCCATCAAAAGCCTTATTGGCTATTGCTAGAAGACAACCTACGCATTGTTGTCGAATAGATAAAAATAAATTGTTGGATGTGATGCATTCTAAAGCATGAAAAGAAAAAGGAGAATGACAGGGCTCGGGAGCCCGACGGGGGTGGAGCCAATCGGGCGTTCCCCCCGATCTAGTGTACTCACAATATTTCACTATGTATAGATCTAATGTTGCAGTGCACTGAAATATTCCATTGCAACAAAAAAAACCCACATATTTTGGAAACCCCCTATTAAGAGAATTCATTTCATTTTTTGTTCCACCGAAAAATGTTTCACCTAGTGTACTTATAATGTTTCACTATGTATGGATCAAATGTTGCAGTGAATTGAAACATTCTTTCGCTATTTGCTGAAACATTGTTTTTATATAAGGTGAAACGACACCCGATTCAAACGAGTGAAACATTTTCAATCTACTTAGTGAAACAATTCCGATATATCTAATGGAACATCGTGCAACATTTAAAAATAATTCAATAATAAGCTTAAAAAATTTTTCGTCGGAATATATCCATGTGTGGTTTTGTTTTGAAGATTTAATTGTAACAAATTTAATGGTGCAATCGGATCATGATTTGGATAAGTAATTTAAGAGAAAAATCAGTTTAAAATAGTTTTGCACGTAAATCGGGCACTAACATCGGCGCCCGATTTTTCTCTAAACCGATCGGACGTCCGACCCGTAAACTCGTCCGAAGAAAAAGATAGACAAATGTCCTTCTGGATAAACCCAAATTTTAAATAAGGGACGATGAGATGAGGTTTTCGAATTCATTGTGTGTAGCTTTACATGTAACCACAAAGCCAATAAATATTATTTAGAAATTCATAACGAAGAATAATCTTCTAGATAGAAATAATTAAAATCTTAAGTAAAACTCCGACATATGATGTTGAGATGTGCAAAACCTCCACCAATGGTGATGGCGCTAGAGTAACTTGCAAATACTTTTCACTACCAGAAAAACGATTTTTCCCAATGTCACCATTTATTTTTCCAGTCGGACTATGAAAAATCACCATTTGCAAAAAATAGCTACAGATAATACCATAAATCTAGTCCCGCTTGCGAAAATTGATATTCACCCGCTAGAGTAATAGATACCATAGCCACCGCGCCGTCAACCACCGCTGCTGCCGTGACCAGCCGCGCGCCGCTGTCGCCACCGAGAGCCTCGCGCCGGCCACCACGGGCGCTGTCGCGGCTGCCTCAGCCACCGCTGTCGTCGTCATCACCAGCCGCGCACCGCCGTAGCCGCCGTCGCTCACCCGCTGCCGCCGACCCATCGCCGCGAGCTCCGCCGCCACCGCCGCAAGCTCGCCCGCCCGATCTGTTCGTCGGGTGGCCAACTCCGCAGGCGCGGCCTCGTGCCCCTCCGCCACCGTCGCGGCCTCCGCGTCGTCGCGCCCGTCGCTACCAGCCGCACCCTCCGTCACTGGACAAGAAGCTGCCGCTGTCACCAGTCATCGTCCGGCTCCACCGTCCCCCAGCAAACGCCGACATCCTCCCACCGGCGCCGGGCACCGCCGGATGCCTCCCCGCCAAATCCGGCACGGATCTGGCAGCCTCGTCCTCCGCCGCCAGCGCCTCCAAACTCCGCCGCCACCCCCGCCAAACGTCGCCACCCGAACGCAGTACCCCACCGCCGGCAACCGCCCCGCCAGGTCCGGCCGGTCGGCACGGATCTGGGCGGTTTCCTCCTCCCGACGCCGGCAGTACCCCCTGCCCTTGTGCGGTGAGACGGAGCGAAGCCCCGTCGCAGCTGTCGCTCGCCCGCTGCTGCCGACCCTTCGCCGCGAGCTCCGCCTCCACCGCCGCAAGCTCGCCCGCCCGATCTGGTCGCCGGGTGGCCAGATCTGCAGGCGCGGCCTCGTGCCCCTCCGCTACCGTCGCGGCCTCCTCGTCGTCGCGCCCGTCGCCGCTAGCCGCACCCTCTGTCATCGGACAAGAAGCTGCCCCCGTCGCCAATCGTCGTCCGGCTCCACCGTCCCCCAGCAGACGCCGACATCCTCCCGCCAGCGTCGGGCGCCGCCGGATGCCTCCCCGCCAGATCCGCCAGATCCGGCACGGATCTGGCAGCCTCGTCCTCCACCACCAGCGCCTCCAAACTCCGCCGCCACCCCCGCCAAATGCTACCGCCCGAACGAAGTACCCCGCCACCAGCAACCGCCGCGCCAGGTCCAGCCGGTCGGCACGGATCTGGGCGGTTTCCGCCTCCCGATGCCGGCAGTCCCCCCTGCCCTTGTGCGGTGAGACTGAGCGAAGCCCCGTCGCCGCCGTCCTTGCGGCCGCGCGACTTTGCTGCCGGCCGCTCGGGCAGCGGTGAGGCGAAGGAGGAGAAGGGAGGGAGCGGCGGGCGACGGCGAGCTGGGCGCCTCCCGTGTCGCCCGAGAGGAGGCGACGCGTGAGTCGTCTTCCGATGGCTCACTTATAGAACTTTATTGCCATAACTGTACTTAGTGGATTGTACTTATATAGAAAGAAATGATTCATGTGCCCATCCATGCGTTCTGAAGGAGCCATAAAACTACAAGTCCAAAAAAAAAAAACTTATATGCTACTAAAATTTTCCTTTGGGCCAATAAGCACGTTTCATGTTACATGACTCTGCCATGCCTAAACTTAATGCAGGTCAGCTCTCCCTCTAATACCGACTCATGGTTACGTGAGCTGCTGAAGAAAAGCCAGAAGAAGCTACACAACCAGTAAGCTGAAGAAAAGCCTAGAGAAGCTACAAAAACTAACTAAGGGCGGGCTTGTGAATCGAGAATTATTAATGACGGAGACAACTATCGAGGAGACGATGTCGGGCACTACTTCCTCAGCTACGGGGCGAGTATTTGGAAGAGATGTAGATCGTACAAAGATAGTAAATATGTTGCGCGAAGCAGCAGGGGACGGTGAACCAGGCTCCAGCAACAACCCGTGTTATTCAACAACAATTGGCATCTATGGCATTGCTGGATCCGGGAAGACAATCCTTGCACAATATGTCTGTGAGTATGAAAAAGAGGATGGCCATTTTTCACCTGTCATGTGGGTTGATGTTTCTCAAAGTTTCAGTGTGGATAAAATTTACAGACAGATGCTCGAAGGAGCCATTGGGCGACCATCCTATAAGTACCAAAATCTTGATGCCCTAGAAAATAAGCTAAAAGCGGAATTGAGAGACAAAAGGTTCTTGCTGGCGCTGGATGGTCTCCAGTCGGATGTTGCTCAGCAAGAACGGGACCAAGTACGTAATACACTGAATTTTGGGAAGCGGGGAAGTAAGATCCTAGTTACAGCTTTGTCCAAAGATGCAGCCATTGTCACGCCCAGAAATTTAACCCAAATTTCCAGACTATTTTGCGTATTAAATCCCTGTCTAGGACCAGTCAGGGTACACAAAACGACAAGTAATATACAGTTCCAAACGTAAAATAAGCGTAAAATACTTACAGAAGAGGCACTTAGTCCTCACACCGAAACAAAAGCAGCAGCGGAAAAAAAAAACGATCCTAGCGGGGCTTCAGCTCCACTCCACAGGCAAAACTCAACTGGGGTCTGAGCCTTGGTCCTTTAACTCCATCTTCAGCTCAGAAGCACTACACTTCTGAAAAGGGGGAATAATAGCAAGGCTGAGTACAACCACCGTACTCAGCAAGCCACACCAACGATGCAGACGTGCAAGGGGATACAAGGATGGTTTGTGTCTATTTGCATAAAGGCGGTTGTAAAACATTTTATTGAGCAAAACAGTAAAACTGTTGAGTAATTAAAGTAACATTAAATCTCCACTGATCAACGCTACACCACGTTGAACAGGCCCAACCAACCCACCTAAACTACAGTGTATTGGGTCGATTTATTAAGTGTGAGACTAATCACGGTGAATCTGGTCGACTGCCCATAACCGCGGGCACGGCTATTCGAATAGTTTTACTCTGATCAGAGGTGTACAACTGTACCCACAAGACACAGCCCCACGACACGTTTCCGTGCGCCGACATGCCACCACGACATACCGGAAAGAGGCCGTGACAGGACCCTTCGCATAACCCCCTCTAACCAAGCACACCACACCTCAGGTTTCACCCCCACTCCTCGCAAGGCAGCGGGCAGTCCCCTCTCGTGCCTAGGTGAATCCGGAAGCCGCATAGGCCGTCGCAGGGCCCATCCAAACTCCATCACGCCCACCCTTGCCTGGATGCGTCGGCTAGAGGAAAGCTACGCTACAAGCCCAGCCGTTGCCCACGCTGGCTTGTGGTAAGTACGATAAATTCTTCCAAGGCATCCCGCGAACCGGTCCTTAACTGCCATGGATGCGACCAGCAAAACCATGCACCCACAGCCCACCATTCAGTCGCATTTTAGTTGAATAATTACGACCATGAAGCATGGCCAGATGTCTCGAGCACGCAGCTCACCAAGATACTAAAATGTCTAATACTGCAATTATCCCATCGACTGAGCTAGTGGTAATTAAGCATGGCTAAGCATATAGTTCTAGCTAGGTCATCAAAGTAACACCAGCTAGGCGATTTATTACCCATGGTTGACAAAGGACAGATATCAAGTAAACATGGCACAAGCGAGCAGATAGGTAAAACCCTGACCCCATGTAATTAGCAAAACATGCATATTTATTTGCAAACAGTAAAACATTTGTAAATTGGGATCAACATGCTCAAGGGGAATGTGTGACTTGCCTTGCTTCTTCACTTGGATCTTCTGAACTCTTATCCTTGCGAACACGATCTTCCGAAACGACGGGAACTACACGCTGGCACGCAAAACGAGGAAAAACTCTAATAAAAACCAAGAAAACAGTACATAAAAACTAAACAAACATGTAGAGCTTAATTTTAGATGAATTTTGCAAGTTGAATGGCTCAATTCGGAGTTCGAATGAATTAGGTATGAATTTTAGAAGTTCTAAGCCATTTAAATGAATTTCTAGAATTAAACTCGATTTATTGCGCAATTATTATTTATTTTTACAAAGGAAATGGTCCTCGCTGACGTCAGCAAGGGGTGAGGCGCGGACCACGTCCACAAAGGGGGCAGGCCCCACACGTCAGCGGCACGGCCCACCGTGGACCGAGTCCACGGTGGCGATCGGCCACGCGGCCGCGCACCCGACGATCTAGATCGGCCAAGGCCGATCGGACGGCTGGGGACGGCCGGGCGGCGCGGCCTGGCCAGCGCGCACACAAGGCTGGCGGCGGCGGCGGCCAGGACCAAAGCGACGGCGGCACACGGGCCGGGCGTCGCAGGGAGCTGCGGCGCGCAGCGCGGGAAGCGGCGAGAGGAAACGGGGGCAGTGAGGGAGAGGGAGGTGGCGGAGCTCACCGAGGGGCACGGCGACGGCGAGAGCAGCCGGCGGAGGGAGGCGGCGGCGCTCCACAGGTCGACAATGAGGAGGGGCTCCCGGCGGCGGAAGGCGGCGACCGGGCGGCGGACGGGGAAGAGCGGGACGCGGCGAAGGAGGCAATGCGGCCGGCGTGTCGCGGCGGCAGCCGGGGTGATGGCGAACGGCGACCGGAGACGGAAAAAAAATGGCCGGTAGGGTGGCGTGGTGGGGAGGTGGTTCTGGTAGTGGAGGGGAAAAATGGATGGGCGGCTGGGCTTGCCCTTGCGGTGGTGGATCTAACCGAGGCAGTGGCGCGGCTTGAGGTGGTTGAGGATGGCGGCTAGAGGCGGCCGGAGGCGGTAGGCGGTGGTGCACGAGGCGGCGGTGTTCCGGAGGCGGAGAGGGGAAGTGGAGTAGAGGCCGGGCTGCGGCACGGCGCCGCGAAGCCGACGGTGGTGGCGGATTGGCGCGGCGGTGGGTGGAGCAGCGGTGGCGGGCGGCCGGAGCTCGCCGAAAAGCGGCGGTGCGCGGGAGCGGCGTGGGGAGGGGGAGAGAGAGCGCGGCTGGCTCGGGTGAGGAGAGGAAAAGAGAGAGGATGCTTCGGGGTTCGTTTTTATAGGGTCGGAGCGGCGGAAACAGGGCCGAGAGGGGCGGCAACCGGCGGGGAAGTGGGGCGCCGACGGGGGGTGGTGGTGGCTCGGCCGGCGCCGGTTTTTGTGGGACGAGCGGGGAAAATGGTGGAGGACGTGGAGGGGATCGTGCCCACGTCGTTGGATGCGAGCTCGGGTGCGGGAGGGCGCCGGATTTTGCGGCGACGTGGGCGGCAATGGCGGTTGGGGTTGGCCGGCGAGAGGTAGGAGGAGGAGCTGACAGGTGGGGCCCACGGTCCCACCTGTCGGCCGGATGGAGAGAGAGGAGGGAAACTGGGGGACGTAAAGCAGACTTTCGCAAGGCGCGGGCCGGCCGAGAGAGAGAGGAGGCGCGCGGCCCGCGGGAGAGGAGGGGAAGGCTTGGGCCAAGCCCAAAAGGGAAGGAAGGAGAATTTTATTTGTTTTCTTTTTATTTAATTGGTTAAATGATCTTTGTGACTTTAAAATTATTTCTTGAGCTCCGAAAATTTGCGGAAAAATCCGGAGAGTATTTTAGGGCACAAAGAATATTACAAAATATTCTCAGCTAATGATTTTTAAAGGAAATTTTTAATTCCCTCAATAATTCACTTGATTAAGTTGATTTAACTTTTATTTAATTTCTAGAAAATGTATTATTAATTGATTTTTATTCCCGAACGAAAATCGGGGCGTTACAGCCATGTCCCTAGGTGCCAAGAGCCCCGTTGAAATTTCTGAGATGGATGATAATGATTTCCTTGATCTATTCATGCATTATGCACTTGATGGTGTGAGAGTACTTGATAGCCAAAAACTTCAAAAACTACATTCGATTGGCAGAGGGATCGCAAATAAGCTAAGAAGATTACCGGTTGCAGCAAGGCGAGTAGGAGACAGGCTATGCAAAAATTTAGATGCCAGCTCTTGGCAAAAAATTAGAGATAATGAAGTACCGTGTACTGACATCATACAAGAACAGTGGCGGAGCTACCAGAAACTTAACGAACAGGTCCGGCGATGCTTTGCTTACTGTAGTATGTTTCCACGGAACTACCGGTTCAAACGCAATGCATTGGTTAAGCTGTGGATGGCTGAAGGGTTTATCAAGACTAGCAATGGACAGAAAATGGAAGATATAGGTGAAAAATACTTTGAAGACCTAAAGTCATGGTCATTTATAAAATCAGAAGGAAAGCTTGCTGACAGTGACGATGAGTGGTTTACTATACCTGATATGCTGCACGAATTGGCAGAGATGGTTGCCGGAAATGATTGCTTACGAGTTCTGGGGGATGAGGTGGAAGTGT